TGAATTTCAGCTGTCCAACAAATACTTAACATACCCACACACCCAATCAAATATGTAATTCTTCAGAGTAGCTGTGATTGCAATCTGTAGGCAAACACAGTGGCATTTTAAAAAATCTTTCAAATTTGTCACCAGCAAAAGTTAATGTGGCCTGGGACAACCTTGGCCTGGCTTTGCCCAGCTACCATTGACAATGGCAATAGCAGCTACAGTTCTATTTGTTGCCATTGCTTAGAGTGAGAATCAGTAATTACAAGGTCGTCCTCCTTCTACTTTTCATTCAACATCAGTTTTCTTTTATGGCAATAGTTTTCTTCTGAAACTTTTGGAAAACAGGACAATCCAAAAACCCTTTAAGGATTACTTTAAAGCTGACACTATGAAAAGTCTGTATCCCTCTGTCACCCAAATCAGTGCTGAATTTATAATACTATATGCAATTTTGTAATTAGGAACAGAAAACTGAACACCTGGATGAAGAGGCAGGAGAAATTTAAATGAAGGAAATAGGTACTGAAATACATCGGCTGTGCTGGTGCCATAAATATAATCCTGATTATTGTATTTTATGTTCCTTCTGTTTTATCCTTGATAATAATTTTGGAAACTAAAACTAAAAATTCTTGCTCAGTCATGATTTTTCTTTTGCTTTGTATTTTAGCATTAACAATTATATCTGTTAAAATTAAAAGTCATTTTGAAAAAATGTAAAGCAGCTATGTACGTGGATGCATATGGATGTCAGCAGCAACTATTTCCCCCCCCAAATAGTTAATGCACTGTGGAGAAAAGTTCTAGTTTGGCTGCTGAAACAACTTAAATACACAAGATTCAAGAACAAGGCAAGAGAAAAAGTGGTTAAGCTAGTACCATGCATTCCATATTTTAGAATAGGCCAATTAATGTCATTGTTCCCTTATTGTTTCATACTGTAAGCATACAGACACTCTCTCACTAGCATAAAGGTCACTGTACTGAAAGCAAGCTCTCCTCCCCCAACTAGATTCACTGACAGGCAGAATATCTAAGTCGGCATCCAGTCATTTCAGGACTTTTCCGCACTGCAGACTTCAACTGCTGGTCTCCCAGGTTTAAACCTGGTAGAAATGAGGGTGGATTAAGAAATCCTTTCTTGGATTTCAACTCTTTCAAATCCACTTTGGCTCTAATGGCTGGTATTCTGTCCTGACCTCAGTGACCTCAGCTCCCAATGTGTGGATTCCCCTCCTGCTTTTCCATTCCCAGCCATACCATGAATGTGAATGCCAATTACTTTCCTTCTGTGAGTATGTTTTATATCCAGTACTACATATTTTATCTGGGACTACTTAAAGCAAAAAAGGATTTTTTTATATTTTTTTTAAAAAGCGGATCCCTATCAGGTAAACACGAAATGGTCTGGATTTTGAAATAATTTTGAATGCATAGGGTGGATGTAATCATTATGTGGGAATGATTCTGGGAGACAGTGGAAGTGCCACAGACTAGATAATGATCAGGTAAGAAAGGCTGAGCCTGCAGAAGAAATGGAAATATGGCAAATATCTCAGAAGGGGCACGGCCTAGTTTTTTGGACTGTAAAGGCAAGATTCTGTTAATGTAACCGCCCAATAAAGTTAGAGCTAGAACTTCTGGGTGTACTGCTTCTCTGGACTACTTCACTATATAAGTATCAGATAAAAGGAATGGAGAACTAAAACAAATATACACCATAAGGTTTGTTTGAATTAATGGCAGAACATACAATGTTTATATTATATTGGTTACACATTGCCATGGGAATTATCCCATCTAAATGTAAGTACTGTACTTCTTGATTCTAATTTCAAAAACCCTGAACAACTTGAGAACTTGAAGGATTGTCCTTAGGCAAACCACTTTTAACCCTTGGTGTAACCTTAAGCACAAAGACAGGTCTTCTCCCACACTAGTAGAATTCTCTTTCAAGTGGGATTCTACAGGTTCCATTGGTTCAACCCCACTGGAACTCATTAGTTTGCTCCACTTTTTAAATATAATCTTATAGTGCATTTGAGCTGTAGCTGTTTTTATAATCTCTGTCTACAGAGCTGAATACCATTTTATTGTTACCACCATCTGTTAGTTTAATTTAACTGTGGTAGAGTTTTTAATTATATTTTATATAGTTGTTTTAATTTGAATATATTTCTGTTTTATAAGAATATTCTCTCTAAGGTGGGATAAAGATTTATTAAATACTAATACTATTAGTACAACTAATGACAAATCTAATGCCCTGTCATCAGAGCCCTGCAGTTCTGGGGCTACTTGCCACCCTGCAAGGCAGGATGCAGCATGCTCAAAGGGACAGAGATGGGGGAGACAAGTGGGTGGGAGGAGTTGAACATTAAGTCCCTTACCTTACTGAGACTCAGGGCTAGGACGGACCAAACCCGGAATGCCTTGGACTGGGGTGAGTCCCCAGCTAATGACTTGTGGATTTGATTAATGACAGGAACAGGAAATGCAGAGATTGCTGTTACTAAGTGATCTGGTACTTTACAACCACATCACTGACCAATGGAAATTCTGGTCCCAATTATGATGTCTAGGACAACCTATAATTACAGATATTGACAGAGTCTTTTAGATTCAGAAGCTATTCACAACCAGGTTTCTTTCTTTTTTAAGAAGTCATTATGTTTCCCAAGCTAGACAGACCTTAACCAAGAGAACTGAACCATTCCAAATAGTGAATGCTAGAAAGCAAATTTCCATACTGGGCTGTTGCCTGGGACAACAAGGGCTGTAACTGATACTATAGCTCCTGTGCATTAGGTGTAATTTTGCAGGTCTGTAAACAAAGGAAAGCTGAAATAAGATCATAAGCAGACTTGCAGTTTCACTTAGGGACTGGTTTATTTAATGACTTGAGTTGCTATTCCAACTGTGGTCACAATTGCTAGTGAACATTGGGGGTTTCTTCTGAAAAATATAAAAAGATTGCAGGACAAATAGTTCTGGGAAGGGCAACATTCTCTCAATCTCAATCTGTAAAATAGAATAATAGCTATCCTAGCCAAATTACAGTACAGGTAGTCCTCGACTTACGACCACAATTGATCCCAAAATTTTGATTGCTGAGACATTTGTTAAGTGAGTTTTGCCCCATTTTATGACCTTTCTTGCCACAGTTGTTAAGTGAATCACTGCAGTTGTTAAATTAGTAACATGATTGTTAAGTAAATCTGATTTCTCCAATGACTTTGTCAAAGGTTGCAAAAGGTGATCACATGAGCCCGGGACACTGTAACTAGCACAAATATGAGTTAGTTTGCCAAGAATCCGAATTTTGATCATGTGACCGTAAGGATACTGCAATGGTCATAAGTGTGAAAAAAGGTCATAAGCCACTTTTTTCAGTGCTTTGAAACTTTGAAGGGTCACTAAACGAACTGTTGTTACTCGACTACCTATATGTATAGTATTGCAAAGTGAAAAGATAATTTGTTGCTTGTTAGTAAAATGGGCTGCATATAAATTTAATAAATAAGTAAGATATGTACATGCTAAATCATATTGTACTGATCCAATTATGTTTAGTTTTGAGTTAATATTGTGAGGTGACAAACGCCTCAAGCTATATCAGTTCAGAAGGAGGCTCATATGAGAAAGTGCTGTTCCCCTTATAAAATATAAATATGAACAATAGACTGAAAGGTCTACTTAAACAACAACTTACTCCCCATATAATCCCGATCCAAAGTATCTTGGAATAACATTGGGGGGAACTTTCTTCTATAAGATGCATCTAGAGAATATGGCAGCAAAAATCAATACTAGGAACAGCATACTCCAGAAATTATGTGAAACTAAATGGAGAGCTTCAGCTACCATCCTCAGGACATCAGCACTAGGTTGGTCTACTCTGCAGCAGAATATTGTGCCCTGTATGGCTTAACAGCTGCCATATTAGTAAATTAGATGCCATACTCAACAACACTATGAGGAATAAAACGGATGTATTGAAACTACTCCAACCTGCTGGCTTCCCGTTCTGAGCTATATAGCACTGCCAGCTTTACAAAGGTAAGATGCACTAATGAGAGAATATAGAAAATTTATGAACAACTCACCCCTACCAGTGCACACTGATTTCCCTCATTTATCAGCAGGAAGACTCAAGTCCAGGAAGCCCCTGTTGGCACTTGCACAACATCTGCACAACTTTAACATAGATTCCCAATGGAAAGCCAGCTACACGGAGGCAGACATATAAATGACCACAGAAAAAAGGTGCCAGGCTTTGAACTACCACATCAGCTATGGACAATCCTGAATAGGATTCGCACCTCACATGGCAGCTGCCGGGACTCTCGGTATAAATGGGACTTAGTATCCTCCCCTCAGTCTGACTGAGAGTCCCACATCAAACTGTAGATCACATCATTACGGGCTCTAAACTGAGGGAATATATGGGTCCACTGATTTTTTTAATATATAAGCGATGCTGTGCTTCAATGGTTAGATTGGTATTTTATAAAACTTTTTAACATTTATATTTTATTGTTTTACTAATCTAGGAGAAATGTTAATATTTATTGCTAGTCCATGTATGATATGCCATATATTAAATAAGTAACCATTTTCTTCAGCAAACTCCATTACATTTCAGGTGTCCTTGCAAAGGTATAGGTACAAACTTCTCTTCCACCTCCCAACTGACATTTCTGAACTAACCATTATTTACATTTTGGCACACAATTTTTAAAGCAAGGTCAGAAATTCAAAATGCTTCCATTTCCGACAAAAACCAGGCTGGGGGGCTTAGGCCAGTTCGGAGTAACTCAACAGTTCGGGATCTCTTACTACAAATGTGCCGCCTAATTAGGAAGGAGAATTAAAATAAAAATATGTTCTCGGAGGTTTGCCTTCTTTCACCTATATATCTACCTATTGCAAAAACACGATTCTGCACCTTTAAATCCGTGACTTTGACCACTTCCCCCTCTCCAAAAAAAACTCGGACTGAAACCTACTTGCTGGTGCGGCTTTTTAAGAGAAATAATTAGGACCACACCCCTGAAAAAAAAGGGGGGGGTCTGAATCTGAACAAGCACTCGCGCCTCCCTTTCAATTCCGTTCCCGGAACCGTCTTCATCCGCAGCAGCAAGCCGACAAGTGGAATGACTAGGAAGTGTCTGATGATGTCTCTCGCCGCTTATTGGTTGTATCGAGAAAAGCCATTGCCTTTTTTTGCCGTGATTGGTGAGGGCGAAAATCTTCTTTCTCTAAGCCCGCCTTTTCTACGTTTTCGCTCCGCCTCGTTGTTTTCATGGGACAAGGCGCGTCCGCTACTGGTTGGCCAAGGAAAAGATTGCGCAGGCGTAGTGGCTGCTTTTGAACTCGGCTGGGGTCGGAGCGCCAGGGTATACTGTGGCAGGTGGGTAAGTAGGCGAGCGCCTCTTTGGCAGGTGACGAAATCGGAAGAAAGAAGGGTCGAGTGCGCGCTTCTGCCCTGGGGAGTCTTGCAGGAGCTGGGATGCGGCGTGGTGATGGGAGGGGAATTGGCCGGACTGTATGGATGATGGGTTGATGGAATATAGGCAAAGGTTTGTTCGTGCCAGGATGCAAAACCATATTTGCTTTCGAAAAAGAGGGCGTATTTTCCTCCGAATAGGGCTTTGCGGTAGAAATGCGAAGAATCCCGCTTAAACTGGTAGGATCTGTCGGAAAAAGCATCTCTCTCCACCTCCCTCCCTTCCTCTGGTAACGGGATCCAACCCGATCTTTAGAACACAATAGCATTCAACCATGACAAATTTGAAAAATACAAATGTATTATTACACTGACATAACAATTTGTGTGCAGTACAATGTGAATATACTGTTCACATTATACTATACACAAGTATATATACTGTATAGAGTATTAACTGAAATTGCCCTAAAATATATTTAAAATGAGTTGGACCTCCAGATAACCATTTTAATTTTAGGTTGTGCTCCTTTGGGCTGCAGTAATATTTGCTTGAAGAATTGTTTAAAGTTTTAAGAATATGTACATTCTAAAGATGTTATAAAAAGTTGGGAAGTGGATAGTTTTAATATGTGCAAAATTCTATCACTTTCCTAAAATAAAAAATATACCTATTTGTCCCTTAACCCAGCATTTATAGCTACTGCATCATTTATCTTTTTTGACATTCTTAATGGTTGCTGAATCTTGCATTTTGAAGTTTTGGTAACAAGTGTTGTCCATCTAAAATATTAAACCAGAAAATAGTGATTCTGTATATATGCATATTATTGATATTGTTTTCTGTCCTTCAAACAGAACATATCTCAGAAGAAGTTGAGGACTGAAAAGACCTGTTTAACAATGATGAACGCGGATATGGATGGTAGAATGTATTTTACTACTATTTTTGCTTTTATGTGTGTTGTAATATTTAACTGTTCTAAAAATTATGCATTTTTTATCAGCTGTTGAGACTGAAAATCAAGTAGAATTAGAAGAAAAAACACGACTTATCAATCAGGTTTTGGAACTGCAGCATACACTTGAAGGTCAGTTTCTTAATTTAGATATATAACTTCATGCCAAATTATTTTAAAGATAGAATGTTATTAATAGAGAAAGTTAACTGATTGTGTAAATATATTTGAATATTTCCTTTAATTTTGTGGGCAAGGCTAATAACATAATATTAAAACTAATAAGCCTTATACCCATGACTACAATTTAAAAGCAGTGCTTTTTATGGAAACTGGAGCAATGAGGTATATTTAAATGTGTCTGTCAGTTCCTTTTGACTCCGGGTAAGTAACTTAGATTACTACAAAGGCAGACAGATTAAGGAGTTGAGATATTGTTGTCCTGGATGGTTTGAGGATTCCAGCACTGAGCAAGGAGGTTGGACTAGGACCTCCAGCCTTATGATTCTATGAAATAATTGCAATAACGTCTGCTCCATTTATGGGTTCAGTTCAAGATTTCTTTCCAACATTTACTAATTAATTGTGAACCAGAATATTGTAAAGATCATCTTTTTCTAGACAGACCTGTCCTGGTGAGATTTTTGGTTTTGCCATCCTGACTGGTATGCCCTACCTGATAACAGATTAATTTTGGGCTTTTTTTTTTTTTGTAACTATGCACATACATTTATTGGGGTCATTGCATGGATTTCATTATACAATTGCCTTTGTATTTTTAATGACTTTCCAAAAAATTGCATTTTTTTAAAAAAAAAATGTTCTGCCTAAAAGCTGGCTGCTAAAGACCTCTACATGTCTTTACAGATCTGTCTGCAAGAGTAGATGCTGTTAAAGAAGAAAATTTGAAATTGAAATCAGAAAATCAGGTTCTTGGACAATACATAGAAAACCTCATGTCTGCCTCTAGTGTTTTTCAGACTACTGACACAAAAAGCAAAAGAAAGTAAGGCGCTGGTAACCAAACAATACTATTGTATTGCTGCTGCTTTTGTTTAATTTTAAATTACACAAGGCTACATAATACTGTAGTTTGTATCATCATTGTATGAAAAATTAATGTTAATTCTAGACATTTTAATTTTTTTAATGAATTGGACAGTACAAGTCTGTAACGTCAGTTTTCAGCAACATAGCATAGAGAAAATATATTTATTACTAGCACAGTCTGAATACAAGTGCTTTTGAAAATCAGTTCTGCTTTTATGGTTAATGTCATACATGGCCAAGTACTGTAATTATCATGGTTTTTATAGTATTACTATTTGCTAGCAACATAACACAGTGTTGTGCAGAGTGGTATGAAAATACTTATTTGCAATGAATTATTTGCATGACTTCTCTTAGTTTTCAAAAATGTTGTACATACTCCATCTCTTATGCATCCTCCTTCAGAAAAAATCTATGCTAATTCTTCCAGATGAAGAAATAGTTTAGCTTGTTGAGTGGTGGAAGGTAATTCTTTTAAACGAGGATATAATATAATGTATTGCTTGCAAAATTGTAAAGAGGAAAAAGAGCACTCTAAAGCTTAATATACCACTCTCTGGAACTAATAAATTATAATTTTAAAAATGTCTGAAAGTTCCTTTCACTTACTGGGCTGGTATAATGTTGCAGTTGATTTAAGTGTGTCCTGTTTACAGAACACTTAGTTGCATGGTAATATTATCAGTTATGATGATACAAGCTTAGGAAAAATAATCTTGTAAACAGTTAATAAATATATTTATGAATTTTCACTAGTTATAGATATACATTTACTGCATAATTCCTACTAACTTATAACCACATTTTAGCCCCACAGATGTTTTGCCTTACAGTAATATAATGAAATTAGTGTTTTTCAAGCATGAAAATACTATCTGCTACAGAGATGTACCAAATGTCTGTCTCTCTGATACACTTCAAGCAGTTAAATGTAGTAAGGCTTATATAACATACTACTTTTCCAGGATAAGTAATTTACTTAAATGCAGGTATATGCACAGTGACATTTCTGAATATATACAATAAGGCTGTTAAGAAAATATTTAATGTTCACCAAAGGTGAGCTGTGGGGAATCATTTTATTGTCTGGTATCATTTAAACTTTGTTGATATTGCTAAGAATGAAAATTGCAGTCCTAATGGACTTGGAATAAGCAATAATTAGGTTTTTAGAATGGGATGTGGAAACAGTATCATAATTGGTACTCACTTAGTAGGAGGCTTGAAAGAGATAGGAAGTATCTTTTAGTGAACTATGTATGTGTTTAATGCTTTTTTCTCCTGATGAATCCCAGTAGAAAAAGATTCTAGAATTTTTTTCACTATTCTATGAGGAATATGTGTTTGAAACTTATTTCACTTTCTCCATTTCCATTAATCTAGTAAGTCAAACAACCGGCTTAATTAGCAGTTTTCCTATCCCCGCTTCCTCTATGGATATGATGCAAGTGCAACATTTCAGATTCAAAAAGAAACATTTGGATTGTATAGGGACAGAATTGATTAGTGATTAAGTGCCATTTTATCTTGGTGAAATGCATGGGGATTGCTCCAAATCTTCTTTTACACCACTTCATACATTTGAGGAAAGTAGGAATATGAAGAGAAGAACTGCTTGTGAATAATTGTGAGTTAATATAGAACAAGCCAGGAATCATCTAGTCTTGGGGTCACATGATCAAGAGACCTGAACTTAAAGACAAGCATCCATTTGCTCACAGGAATTATTTCTATCCAGTTTAAGACTAATTCAAACAGTTAGCAGCGTGAGAAAGTGCTATCTAAAGAAGATTGTTCATGTGATACTGAGTTTAAATGTGCTTATGATTGTTTTAGTAAACAAATCTACCACTGGGGATTATGTTCCACAAATCTCAGAATTTATACCAAATAAAGATTTTTTGAGTGTATTTTGGTCTGTTCTGCAGCTTTTAAAATGTTATTTGGAAAATAAACCTTAATAAATATTACAATACTTTTTATGAAAAATGGTAGAGCTAATCTGTGTTTTCAGCATGTCAAAAATACTATACAGCAGTTATGAAAGACCTTTCATATATATGTGCATATATACACAGAATTCAGTTGCTACATTTTCATTATAAACATTTAAAGAGTAAATTTAAATTAAATGTGTCTCCCCCAGTTACAAGCTAATTTTTCTTGGCGATTGTGATCCCCAAAGAATAGCCTTTACTCAGATAAAGGCCACATTCTGATATATAAGCATTCAGTTAGTAATGATTATTACAGATGAAGCTTCCATTGTTCTGCATAATGGTGATTCTTTGTCACCTAAGCAGTGTTATGCAAATTGCAAATACAGATTAAGAAATAATAAGCCAAAACTATGGAACAAACGTGAAGTATGGAAAAAGAGGGTAGAGCTAAATCGAGTCTATATCAACACCATTCATGATACCTCTTTGTGTCTTTCTATCAGTGGTTCTACCACATCCATGCATCATACGCTTCATTTACTTACTTTTGTTCTTTTAAACTTTTCACTTTTTCAGAATCTCACTCCAACCACAACTTTCTTAGCCTCATTTTCTCTCAATCACACTCATACTCAGTCACATTCATTCAACATCCATTCACATTTAACCCCCCCCCACACACACACACACTTCATAGGAGACCCATCTCCATTGTGTTCAATTTCCTTTTGATTTTCTTCACACAACTCTTGGTTTCCTGTAACAAACTTTATCAAAAGCAGAGAAAATGACTTTTTAAAAAACATTTATGTCTAGCAACAGGCCTAATACTATCTTTCTTATAGCATTTGAATTTGAATGTATTAAAATTTTTCCAACCATTTTCCTTTAATAAATATTTTATCTCGGAATATATATTAATCTATTTGCTCAAGCTTTTATGCTGCAATAGGTAATTCAGTTTTCCCCATTAACCACAATTGCCTTAGATTTTCAATATATCAGAAGCCAAGGTATTCCTTGGCTTACAACCAGTTTTCTACTGACCATTTGCAGTCATGGCAGCCTTGGAACTGATACTTTATGGCCTATAAAGCACTTCTGGCTGTCATAAAATGTTGTGCTGATTTCCCAAGTCACATGACTGCATTTTGGTCACTTAGCAACCTGTTCACATTTATGACATGTTGCCCAGCGCCCTGTGATCATGTGATTGCCATTTCTAATTTTCTCTCCTGGCTTCCCCCCCCCCCCATGCAAGAGGAGGAAATTTCACAGGCTCAAGGAACAAGCCTCAAATTTGGCAAAAATGCTAGCAAACACCAGCATTTCGAACCTTTCAAAATGAATGTCAACATTTATCACTGGTATTTAAGCAAATACCATCTCCACTTCTCCAAAGGGAAAAACACTTAGCAAACACCAACATCCTGAGCCTTCCAGAATGGTGTTTGCTAGCATTTTTACCAGATTTGAGGTCCATTCTTTAGTGTGCTGAGGGACTTTCCACCAGAGGGTGGGGAGAGGGCTTGAGTATCTGGGTGTAGTAGCATTTGGCTTAAGGACCACATCTGAGAGCTGGGATTGTGGTTGTTGAACAAAATTGTCATGTGGCATCTCACTTAACAAGTGCTTGCTCAGCAACCATGATTTTGGGCCCAATTGTGGTTGTAAGTGGAAGACTACCTGCTTATTAGTTTTCAAATCTATACACTTTGTATCATACTCTATTCACTTCAAATATTTCGACTTTGAAGCAACACATAATATATATGTTTTCACACCCAAAACCAGACTGCTGGTGAAATATGATTCAGAATCCAAACAATTTAAAGGCAGTATGGTTAAATACAGTATATGCAGAATTGGAATGTAGTGATAAAGAGATGGAACAATGGAAATTTCAATGGAAGAACATTACATTTATTCCAAACATTATATTCAGAAAAAATAGTATGTTTTAATGTGGGTATACTATCTCCATTCTGATTGCTAAAATGTTTAATTTATTTTTAAATAATTGCTGGAAAGGTAATAAGCAGATGGGATGTTTTTTCATATTTGCTGGCAATGTTATAAAATTCAACCATTCTGAAAAATGATTCATGCTAGTTTGAAGGAAATTTTGAAAGATGAATTCCCATTTCAGTCTACAATATTTTTACAGGTAGTCCTCAAGTTATGATGACAATTGGGACTGGTATTTCTGTTGCAAAGTGATGCTTTCTTAAAATGTGACATCATGTGACAACACCTAGCAAAGGCAATAAGGACCATGTGGATCATTGATCAAGGACCTCATGTGAACATGACTTCCAACTTCCTTCAGCTTCCCTGTTGACTTTGCTAGCAAGAAATGTTGGAAATTATAATCACATGACCATGGCTTGCATCTTCACTTAAGTGTCCAGATATAAAATAATCCTGTTCTACAATAAAGAACCTTCAGACAAAATAGCTTTTTAAAATAAAAATGTGTTAGTGGGCACCCAAAGATAAGAAATCCTTGTTGTACTCATTTGCTCAAGATAACCCAGAAGTGAAACTCCTGCAGAAAATGTGCAAATCTGGAAGCTCTAATGCTATTCTAGTGATTTTTCATTTTGCACTGTGTTACATATTGAATGTTGACAGTTCTGAATATATAGCAAAAAATTAAGTGTTAATATTATTAGAAATAGTTTATTTAAAAAAATGTGATTCCAATAATATACACAATAATAAGCTTCAAGTTAAATAACAGGTTATATTAAAGATTTTTATTTAGGAATCAATATAATTTAGGAAGTAAATTGTACATGGATTATGCCAATCTGGCTTGAAACATAAAACTATAAAAGCAAGAAAAATTTCATGTACACAAGTTACATAAATACAGTTAATGTTTTTTCCATTTAAATGTAAAACATGTTATTGTTTAAAATAACAATGAAGTACTTTGTAAAACAAAAAGCAGCAACTATAACAAACATCAAACACACATTACAACAAAATGTAAATAAATATTATACTTTTCAAAAATGTAATCAATAGCCAAACACAGTTATTGCATTCAACTCAAAATATCAAAGTGATTTTATCTTTGAAGTTTTAAACTCTAAAGCTTAAAAACAATGTATCCTCTCTAGAGCTAGGGAAAAAAACATTAATGTAAAAGTTTAAAGGATAATTTGAAGCCAAACTTCTTTCCAAACAATATTTATTACTTAAATAACTTAAAAGAATATTTATAATGAATCAGGCCTATCGCCATTTTAAAAACGTCTATGAAATAAAGAACCAGATAACTTAAAAAGTAGGAATGTTTCTTCAAAATGAAAATGAAAAACCTGACAAGATAAAGAGGGTCTGGAAAATAGAACTTAAAATCCAAACTGAGTTCAGTCTTTGTTTAAGAGTTAATAATCTCCATCCCTGTGCCAATGTTAAAACAGTATGATTGGATTCTGTAACTAGAAACATAAATAATACTAGATGGAAGTGTGTCAGTCTTTTCGAACTCTTCGTTTACGTACTGATTTTGCAGGTCCATCAACAGACCCAGTGCTTTCATCTGCTTCTCTCATCTGATGGGGGAGGAAAATATAAACGAGAGTTGTCAAAATAAATTATGGTTCATTATTATCTATCTTGGTTACAACTAAGTATTGAGTTTACTTTTGAAAATATTAATGTTTTTATTTCTTAGAGCATTAAGAAAATCAATAATTACTCTGCATTTATAAATATGGCTTGCTTATGATTCTTTTAAGCATAACTTTGGTCAGTTTTGGTCACCACGATGTAAAAAAGATGTTGAGACCCTAGAAAGAGTACAGAGAAGAGCAACAAAGATGATTAGGGGACTGGAGGCTAAAACATATAAGGAACGGTTGCTGGAATTGGGTATGTCTAGTTTAACGAAGAGAAGGACAAGGGGGGACATGATAGCAGTATTCCAATATCTCAGGGGCTGCCATAAAGAAGAGGGAATTAAGCTATTTTCCAAAGCACCTGAAGGCAGGACAAGAAGCAACGGGTGGAAACTAATCAAGGAGAGAAGCAACCTAGAACTAAGGAGAAACTTCCTGACAGTGAGAACAATTAATCAGTGGAACAGCTTGCCTCCAGAAGCAGTAAATGCTCCAACACTGGAAGTTTTTAAGAAGAGACTGGACAGCCATTTGTCCGAAATGGTGTAGGGTTTCCTGCCCGAGCAGGGGGTTGGACTAGATGACCTCCAAGGTACCTTCCAACTTTACTACTATTACTAACTTGTACTAGTTATAGAAAGAAGGGGAGAACCAAAATATAGGATACTTACTGAATCCAACATATTTAAGTCAATATGGAAAGGTGATTTTTTTTCCCATATTGACTTAACATATCTACTTTCTAGTGTATTTAGATCCTAATATAGTCTAAATTCACTAGAATTCTAGTATTTCAGGAAACAATTATGTCAGTTAGAAAGTTATGGAATGTAATGTCAAATAAAAAAAGATTTGATCCTTTTTCCCATGCTAAATTAACTTCTGGAAAACCCAACTTTAAAAAATTGGGAAAAGATGGTGATATGGAAAAACTGGATGGAAGCAAGTATATGGACCAATTGATAGATAATAATGAATTTTTAACATATGCTGTATTACAAAATATATCAAATGTAACCCAATGGCAATATTTACATATTTACAGTTACATTTGTTAACAATATTGTTAGCCTTTTCACCTGAGATACTAGAACACGTGGTTAAATCTTTTAGCATAACTAGCTAGCTATCATCAATAAATCAAATTGATATGCAGATGCTGAGAAATGAGTGGAATAAAAAATTAAGTTATGCAATTATATATAGCTTAAATAATGGGACAATATCTTAACTTCTACAGCAATGGTGCCAATAGTATCTCTAATTATGACTTATATTGTACAAAAAAATATTTAGAATTTATTGGACTCCATTACATTTGATCAAAAAAAGATTGTTTAAGACAGCTTAAGATAATAAGATAATGCTAAGTATATATTTTTACAATGTCCTATATTTAACAAGTTTGGAGAGAATG